TCTAGGGCGTATTTCCAGATCGGGCTTAGGATGCTTTTGTATATCGTAGTTTTACTATATAGCGACAGCTTGTTTTTTGGAGCAAGAAGCCATGCCATTTTTCTGGATTTTGCCATTATTGACTGCCGTACCATGGTTGTATGGGCCTTAAAGTTTAGCTTCCTGTCCAGTAAAACTCCAAGGTACTTGTATGAGCTCTTTTGTGGGATTCTGGAGCCAAGCATGGTGATGCCGCTGCAAGACAAAGTTCGTGTGGTAAACGTGACATTTACGCACTTGCTGGTGTTGATGCCTATGTTCCATTTTCTGGTCCATCCTTCAAAGCTATTTACATACTGCTGCAAGGATTCCGTGGCTATGTTGATGCTAGGACTTCTGGTCAAAACTGCAGTGTCATCTGCGTAGGTTGCTATCAGGACGTGTTCCTCATCTAGTCCAGTAACTACATTTGTGGTTGGCATGTCAGCTGTGTATAGGTTGTATAGCGTGGGTCCAAGCACGCTACCCTGTGGGACACCTGCGCAAACTGAGCGAAATTTAAACTACCTATAACTATATGCTATCTATATATATAAATAAATAAATGTTTTATAAGCACTCCAGTCTGCGTTCTTCTCTGGGTTCTGTGGTCAACGCTGCGTATGCTTAGCCTGAAAGCGTTCCGCTTTGCTCAAAGTTCAAAAGTGCGAACTTTACAACATTATTTGTTGCAATTTTGCTTTAATAATTGCCATATAAATACCAGCGAATCTAACATCTAATTATAGTTAGTGAGCACATAGTATGTATATTATCATCTGGTTTATATTCATTGCCCATTTGTGATTCTCTGAGTGCGGCACGAGTTGGTCAAGTTTATGGCTTTAGTGCTGTTGTCCATAGGCACGCGATAAAAGAAATTCACCTGATAAGCATTTGACCACAGTCAACTGACCAATCAGATCCAATGATATCAGTAATGGATAGTTATTATCGGTTACTCTATATAGGGTACCAAAATAGTATAGGTATATGACTGCAATGCAGTCTGATTCATTTCAAAGTGCTGATTAAATATTCTTGTTGATTTTTATTCACCAATTAACGTGGTCAACTTTATGGAACCCAATATTTAGCTATTTGTCCAGTTAAATAAGATTTCTACTATTTATAGGCTCTAAAAGAATTTACCTACATACATAAATATATACATATAAATGTATGTGAGGGGAATTATAAATAAATTTTTTTTTCTATAAATTTTAAAATTTGATTGGAAATCTGTTTTAAGCTTTAACTAATGAGTGGGCCTCTCTGATAGTATATACATTTTTATTTTTGCTTCTATTTAAATTTCATTCCGGTTATAATTTTCTGTAAATTGAAATCAAGCAGTAGATGAAGCTATGGAGTGGTCAAGCAACTACTTGACATATAGATGGCGCTACTTAATCTAGCTCCCTAAAAGCATGCAACACTTTTTGTCCACGCATATAAAGCAGCAAAAGAATTCTTCTAACGAGTTGGTATTTGAAGAGATGTATAAATAAATTCAATCCTCAGATTTTGGCGTTGCAGGCCTTTTAAAATATTTATCTATATATTTTGTTATTTGTTAGCCTACCATAAAAAAGTAAATTTTATAAGATTTATACATATTTCTCATTGTGAATAACTAAAATTTGCTTCGATGTAAAAAAAAAAAATATTTAAGTGATGTGTGTTCGAAATACTTTAATGGTTATTTTAGATTTTATTTACTGAAACATATGTATAATGCGCTTAAAGTCCGTAATCCTTTTTTTCATACTCGTAATTTGTCATATTTTCTACTGATTATATACATATGTTATGTTCCGCCTTCTGCCACCATCCATTAATAGCTGGCAAATAGAAACTAGCCTCATTTAAATTGAGATCTCTTTGAATTGAAAAGGGCATAGGATTTTGCCTGAAGGCTTAGCCACTTAATTGATATAAAATGCGAATGAATCAATCACACGATAATTCCATATATATTTATATACATACATAAATTTCGTGACTGACACGATGTCTATGAAATCAATTTGAATTCATTCATTAATTTCTTGCTGCCTCAACGCGACGCGACGCGACTCGATTCGTTTTGGGGGACTTAGCATAAATGTTTTGGGGCATAAATGTTTAGAGACGGCGTTTTGGCTGGCGTTTTAGGCATTTTGTGTGATTTGTCAATGCAGCGTAAAGAGTATAATTAATCTGGAATCGTTTTGAGGCCAATAATCAAATGTGCATTAGTCACTCGAGCACCTAATCGGACTCTAGTTGGACGCATGCCTATGCCTACGGCTACGACGCGTCGTATGCGTATGCGTATAATCCCCAGCCACGTCGTATTACCTCAGCAAACAAAGGCCAATGTCAAAATCTGACAGTGTGAAGCGTTAGCTACACAATAAATTAATAAATTTAAAAAAATATATATAAGAAAGAAGAAGCAGAGCTTGTTACGAAAATTTTAAATTTATACCGCGCCTGCTGCATTCACTTTTTATATATATTTTATCAAGACGATGTGTTATATTTTGGACTAAATTTATTTTTTTCAGATAAACTCAGCTCTTGATTTAAGATTTGCGAAATGCGCTTAGCTCCAAATAAATGCAAATCTCTTCGGTTTCACATTACGAACGGAAGTCGATCGGAGATAGTTTTAAAATGTATTTTTTTGAGTATAGAGGGTATATAGGGTATATATTTTAAAGTGATTCTCCTAAGTTAAAGCAATAAAATGGCTGTAAAAACAGATGGAAGAGTAGAGATGTGATAAGAATAATCTATATACTTGATTGTGAAATAAATCGTATATTATCATATTTTAACTTGGGCTTGTATACATAATTAATTAAAATGCCCACCAAATTGCTGTAAAGTCTGCCTAGGTATCTTCTAGCCGGATATTGCTCTACTAGAGCACTCTTACTAATTTTTGCATATTTATTAAATGTGTAGCAAACGATTTCCCCTTCCAATACGCCACTTTGCTTTGGGTCATGCCTCTACGGCAGATGGCGTGAGAAAGTGTGAAACCTGTTTGCTCAGCTCCGGTTGGACACAGTTTGTAGATCTGTAGATCAGTGGATCTGTAGCTAGCTGGGCTGTAACTGCATTAGACACTTGCATAAGTTGACCCATTTAATGCTTGGCTTAGTACTGGGGCGCAACCTTGGCTAAGAGTGCAGCGTGGGACGAATATAACTCCCTTATCATAATTGGATTACATATAAATTAGTGGGCTGCACATTTATTTACCATAACTGTCGAGCCTAATTAGATAATGCCCGTTATGACAACTCATTTCCGCTTAGCCCGAAACTAAACTGAATTAAACGGAGACTAAACGGAGACCGAACTGAAAACGAGAGCTTTCGATTTGACAAAGTGATTTACCTTCACTTTTATGTATCGCAACTGCTTAATAGATGAATTTGGATTATACATGTATAGCTATCTATATATATTTACGATATGTATGCGGGCATTTGTATCAATTTGGCGCATTTAAAATTGACAAATTTAATATGTGTTTCGATATAGCTGCACACAACAAAAAACTAGACCTTGACGTTATCTTTACAGCACGCGAAAACGCAGGCTTCGCCGTCTCCCAAAATCCAAAGCCCCATACCCATTCCATTTGCATTTGCATTCACATTCACGCATTGGCATTTTGGCCTCTCACGCTTGCAGCTGGTATAGATGGCTCGATTGGATAGATCGATTGTAACTAAGCGATTGTAGCCTCGTCGCTATCCATCGTAATATTTGCATGACAAATGCCTACGTCATTCAACTCCAATGCAAATAATTCCAACGCATTGCAAATTTTTATTATTTTTCTTAGCATTTATGATTTGTTTAACACCTTTTGTTTCCCTTTGACTTTAATAGATTTATGATTTTGTCTTTGCCATAATTAAATAAAATTAATAAAAAATTTTGGCAAAATATTTGCCCTATAGCGTGTTCTTTTGTTTGCTGAAGTTTTGGACACGCTCTAAATATAAAACAATGGATTGTAAAAAAAATAAATAAATAAAAAAGAGCTAAATATGTTTTTAGAGACGCGTATGTATGTATGTATAAATATATATACTAAATTGCAAACCTTTAAATATAACAAGAGCCAAAAAAATGAAAGTCTTGAATACCTATTTTTTATCGGAATATGATCAGAATATTTTATTTTTTAAAGCACGTATGAAACTCATTCTAACTTCTATAAATATATTTAGAATATATTTATGCTAGATTTGTTCTTTATAAACTTAACTAAGCTTTTATTGCTATGTATAGTAAATTAATTTTTCTTCTAGAAAAAAAAGTCGAAGACAACAAGTTTCAAAATATTTCGTCATCAATTTTAAAAGTCTAGTAAATTGGTTTCGCTAAAAAAAAAAAATAAATGGCTAAAAGTAAAAAAGTAAAAGTAATCTAATGTGAACATTGTCTCAAAATTTGTATTCAAAATTATTTTATGAGGATATAATTTGTATTTATCGTTCATTTTTATTTTGTCAAATGAATGCTCTAACGGCATTTAGACATTTAGATATTTGGATAGTATGTATTTGTTACGTATGCTTGCCAAGTTGCTTTCTGTAGTGTTCTTTTAGACAAGGGCCATTGCCACTGACAATAATAGGTGACAATTAACTTAATTACTTACTAGCATAGCCCGAGAATACTTAAATTTATGAGAAAATATAGCTTTTGTTGCTCGTCAATGGACAGGCCATATAACTGATGAGTTTATTTGTACTGCTAGCCACTACGGCTAGAATATCTGAATTTCTCTAGTTTATATCTCCAGTAGCAACAAAATTCATTCAGTGAGAAGAACGAAAGGCAAGACCGATCATTGCATAAATTAAATATAATTTATTCACTAAGAGAACAATAGGAAAAAATAATAAAATGTGAGCTATAATAAGAAAACATGTTTCTAAGCAGAATTTCTAAAAATTTAAGTAACATGAATTTAATTGAATAATATAAAATACTAAACAATTTTTCGTTGTAGTCTAAATTAAGCCCCACTAAGCTGCGGTTCACTAGTTCATATTGAATCTTATCTTGCAAGCTTTAGCCCTACTACTTCTGTTTTAAATATGGCCCTATGATATTTGACGATATTGAAAATGCGTAGCCCCTGCAGCTCCATTCATATGATGCCATGTCAAACTAGGGTAAGGTAAAAGGGTAAAGTCAACAAACAACTTTATTTCGTCCATTGTCAGAGCGAGCTCCACTTGATTTGTTGGCCCAAAACAATGGACTGTCTTGAGGCGTAACAAAAAGTCCCAACTGCCAGCTGCCACTTGCCACCCAAACGCCCCACTAGCTGCCTCTCGCTCACTCGCGCACACACGCACACACATGCCATCTCCCTTTGTTTGCTGTTTGCATATGAAATGTTGTTGACTGTTGCAACTATAACCCTTTTTTATTTTTTTTTTTTTGGTATTGTTATACCCTGAACCCATTGAAAATGGGAAATCAGGGTATAATGGTTTTGT